ATACTTTGCTCTTAACTCTATTATTACTTCCAGATTTTCTTTGGTAACGATTCCTCTTCTCTTAATCTTAGTTATTTATTTTATTGCTTTGATTAGCTTAGTTTTTATTATGTGTGAGTAGTTCTATTTCTAAGGTTTGTGGGGATCCATAAATAATATGAAGGTGTAATTTATTGTTGTTAATTGTCAATGGTAGATTAATTTCGTATTGATTGATTTAATGCTCTGTGACTAGATTTGCGCAGATCTTTTATGCATGAGTTTGACAATATTGATTCGAGATTCGAGAGATGAGAATTAATGTTTAGGTCTAGTTTAAATAAGCAGGTTAATTTATAAATGGTTAAGTCGAGATTTGAGAGATGAGATTTAATACCGGTAAATTAATTGTGTGATTGTAATACGTAGCGAAAGCCCTTTATGATCTGATTAATGTATGCATTGATGGTTGATTATTATGTTTTACCCTGGAATATTATTTATTGGTGAACCTATACCCTAGGCCTTTTATTCATTGTTTTCTCCTTATTCTTAATCTTCGTAGTTTAGTTTCCTTTGATTATAAAATTTTGGTTACTTTATAATCTAGATTATATTAATTAATTAGGAATAGAAAGACTCGTTTCTCTGTGGATTCGACCCTACTTTCCTATCTACATTAGTTAGAGGATTTAGGAATTACTTTTGATTAGGTGATACGACTTTTGTCTGTTAAAATTTGGCGCCGTTGCCGGGGAAACGGTTTTATTTTTATTTCTGATTATTTTTGTAGTCTAGGTTATTTCTTTTTGTCTCAGATAATATTAGTTCTTTGAGGCAAGTTTCATATTTTCTTTTAGTTTTTTTTGTTTATGCCCAGGTGTTCCAGATCAGGGTACATCCCATTCGATCCTGAGATCGAAAGATCCTTCCATAGACAGGAGAATTTCTACAAGCAAATTCTGGCGGATCCTGGTGATAATAATAATCACCGAGATCCTCTAGCTGATTCTAGCGATTCCGAGGTATCTTCATATCTAGAATCAGAGATGACGGCTCCAAAGAAGCTTAGTGATCACTCACAACTGAAGCTTACAGATTTTCCACACCTTACTCCCACTCTGGCTCTTGATGGGGTACAGTTTGAGATTAAACCCCAATTTATAACGATGATAGAAAGGAAGAAATTTAGTGGAGCTAAGGGTGAAGACCCAAATCTTCATATTGCAGACTATTGTCAGTATTGTAATACCATCAGGCAAGCTGGGGTCACACAAGACCAAATCAGGGAGATTCTCTTTCCTTTTTCTTTGACTGGAAAAGCCAAATTATGGTTTAATGGATTAAATAGAACTGCACTTGGTATAACTGACTGGGAAACTCTTGTTTTGAATTTTTATAACAAATATTATCTTGTAGAGAGAACAGCCGTACTACGAAGTGTAATTTAGAACTTTGCCCAAGAAGCTGATGAAACTTTATATGAGGCTTGGGAGAGGTTCAAGGACCTACAAAGAGAATGCCCCCACCATAATCTGACACAATGTCAGTTAATCCAAGCCTTGTACAATGGCATTGGAAATTCATCTAGAATAATCTTGGACTCTGCAGCTAGTGGGAGGTTTATGGTCTTAATGTTGATGATGCAGGTCAAGTTATCAAAGATATGGCGATACATAATTCCCAATATGGGAATCCTAGAGGCTTTGATAACAAGGGAAAGCATAGTGTTGACTCTGTATCCTTTTTGCAAGCTCAATTAACCTCTATTTTCCAGAAATTAGATAATCTTAGCACTGCTAATGTAGCTAATGTTTCTGCAATTTATAATAATGCTAATGAGGCTTTCTGTGAAAATTGTGGATTTTAGGTCATTGGGAGCAAGATTGTAGGAGTTCCGTGGAGCAAGTTAATGCCTTTCAAGCTTATAGACTATATAAACCATACTCCAACACCTACAATCCTGGGTACCGGAATCATCCGTACCTTTCCTACCGGAGCACCAATGTCCAAAATCCACCACAAGAACAGGTGCCACAACAACAACAGCAGAAATATTACCACCCCAATGCTGGCAAGAAGAACCAACCACAACAACCCTCCTCATCTTCCGACCCTGCTTTGGTAGAAATTAGAGCGATGCTAGCTAATATGCAGAAGCACATGGAGAGTAGAGATGCCCAAATTGATTCGATCCTAGCACACAATAAAATTGTAGATAATCAAATTGCGCAACTTTCCGCTACCCTACAAGCCCGTCAATAGGGAACTCTGCCAGCACAGCCGACCAGGCCTACGGATCAAGCCTATGCAATTACTCTAAGGAGTGATTCAAACTATGAAGGGCCCCATATTCCCAGAGACAATGAACCTGTTTTAATAAATAATGCTAGTCTTGATTCCTTGAAACCTGAAAATGTAGATAATAGCCCTGCTGGGCTAAAGCATAGTACTAATATATCTAATTCTACATTGCAGGGTACGACTCCAGAGAAGGTGGCCATTCCAGATAAGAGCAATAATGCTCCAAAGCCAGTTATCAAACTTCCATTCCCCAATCGTCACTTGAAAACAAATTTTGATAAGCAGTGTGGTAAGTTTCTGGAGATGGTAACAGATTTGAAGGTAACAGTTCCCTTCACTGAATTAATCACACAAATTCCTGCATATGCAAAATTTATGAAGGAAATATTAACAAGAAAAAGGTCTATCAGTGAAGTAGAGACAGTAGCTTTCACTGTAGAGTGTAGTGTCATACTTCAAAATAAATCTCCACCTAAATTAAAAGATCCGGGTAGTTTTTCTATCCCTTGTCATATTGGCAATCTAATGATCGATAATGCATTGTGTGATTTAGGTGCTAGCGTTAGTGTTATGCCATTATCTGTGTGTTCCAAGTTAAATATGGGTAAATTAAAAGCTACCAATATTACTCTACAAATGGCCGATCGTTCTTTCAAATACCCCTTAGGTGTTTTAGAGGATGTTCCCGTTAGAGTAGGTAAATTTTACATACCTGTTAATTTTGTTGTTCTTGACATGGCTGAGGATATGCAAACCACAATTATTTTGGGTAGACCATTCCTTAACATTGCAGTAGCAATTATAGATGTGAGGAGTGGAAAACTGACGCTATCAGTATGGGACGATAAAATTATTTTTAATCTTAATAATACCCCCTAAAAGCCCCATGATAGAGGAGAAGTGCTTTAGTGTTAGTGTGGTTCAAAGTTATTCTAACAAGCCCCAAGCTCTTATAAAAGATCCCTTGGAGGCGGTATCTTGTGTTGCATCCTTTTCAGATGAGATAGACAAATGGAAGAAGGAAGTTTATGCAATATAAAGAGCCCTCTACACTGTCGGTCTTGGCTTTGAGGATGAAAAGGTGGAATCAATCAAGCAAGTTGTGGAAATTGAGCCTACGGTGAGTGTTCCGCCAGATCGAGTTGCAAGTGCTAAATGTAGTGACAATTTGAAGCAACCCTTGATCGAAGAAGGATCTATAGTGCGTAGCATTGAAGAACCACCAGTCCAAGTCAAAGAGGATCCACCAGATAAGGTGAATTAGCGTCCCACAGGGTATGTTAGGAAGCCGCGTCGTAGCCTAAACATCGCTCGACCGGGTGAGAAACCACCCGACCAAGCATTAGGTCAAGGGTCCTAATTCTTGTATTTGGTAAGAAGGTCGTGCGGGACCTAGATAAACCAGCGCTTTGCGGGAGGCAACCCGTATTTTAATGCTTTTTAGACTAGTCTTTCTTTATTTTTTTTCTTATGAGAGGAGAGATGAGGGAATTTAATGAGTTTTATGAGTTCTTGTACAGGTTTGAAGGAAAACAGTTAGCCAAAAATTGAAGAATTGAACAAAATAAAAAAATCGTCCAATTATCCTCGGGCCCGACCGGGCGCGAGAGTAAGGGTTGAAAAAGTTCAATTTTTGCCCGACCGGGCGAGAAAATTCACATATACGGACTTATAAGATCGCCCGACCGAGCGCGAGAGATGAGTAAATTCTGGGAGTTAGACCGCCCGACCGAGCGAATGGCGCCCGACCGAGCGAATGGCGCCCGACCGGGCGCAAGAGTGGACAAAAAATCGGGCATTCGATCGCCCGATCGAGCGAAGGACGCCTGACCGGGCGCGAGAGCAGCAACTTAATTCATACCCAGATCGCCCGATCGGGCGACAGGCCGCCTGACTGGGCGCGAGGTGCCCGTCCACCCTTATCTTCTTCTTTCTTCTTTCATTTCTCTTTTCCTCCATAAATTTCTCTCTCTAAAACTCTAATTTTCTCTACCTTCTCTCTAAGTTTACTCCTTCATTCTTCACCCAAATCCAAATATTTTTACATATTCTTAATCCTCTCTTCATTTTCTACAATTCTACACAAAAATCTTCAATTTCCATTCAAATAATTTTTATACCCTTTTTCAAAAATTCTCAAAAATGGCAGCTAAGAGGGCAAGAACACTTCTAGGGGGGAGCTCAAGCTCAAGACAAAAATATGACCCGATGTTGCAACTACCACATTAGCCGACGATCAAGATAGCAACCCCAGAGCAGAAGGAAAAGCTTGTGCAACTCTACGGGCGTGAGATAATTCCTTCACGGTGGTTACACCGCCCTACTCTAGAAGCATTAGGACTATATGATTATGTTAGGAGATTTTTGAACGATATTGGTATGAGGAAATTTGTTGATATGCATTATGCCACTTATCGTGAATTGACATGTGAATTTCTTTCTCTTTGCATGTTCATAACCATAAAACTGGGCCAAAATTGATTTTTAGGTTAAATAATAGAAATATTACTTTAATTTTTGTTGATTTTTGTAAATTGTTTGATTTGGAATCTGATTTGCTTCACCAATGGCATGCTGCATACAAAATGGATGATATTTATACTGCTTTGACTGGTTTTCCGGTGCCTAACGCCCAACATGCTAGTGCTAAACCAATCCATCACCCCGTTCCCAAAATATGGCAAAGGTTTGCGGGTGTTAGCTTTTTAGGTCGGAACAAGCCCCATAACTGTCAGACCAATGAACTTGCTGTTATTGGACATTATGTGTACGGGTTCGGGAAGCTTAACATAGCTAGGTATATCATCCATCACTTAGATAGGCATGCCACGGCTAGTAACTCTGCTAGTACCCCCATCCGTCTAGAATAGCTATTAAGATGGCCGGTTTTGTAGAGACTAGACCCCACCAGATGAACAAATGTGGACCTGATACCTACATGACCACTAGGTACCTAGAGGATTTGGGTTGGGTACGGTCGGATGGTGAGCAGACACCCCACTGGTGTATTAGGACTGGGATCGAGCATCCATTGCCCATCTTTTCCCTACCTAGTCCTGACTTGACCGCCTTTCCCCCCAGGCAAGCATCCTACACGTACGACCTTTTAGTTGCCAACGCTAGGGGGCAAGCACCACCAGTACCACCACCAGTTCCATCACCCCAGCTTGAGCCCAAGGTAGCATTTTCTGCACCTCGCATGTCTCACTTCGTTCCCCACGTTGACTCTGATCCAGTTTGGGACTTTCAGAGTATAGGTAAGGGTTTAGGCTGTATCGAGCATTCTCACACTTACCTAAGGAGGATGGTAGGCTCCATTGACCAGAGGTTAGGGTACCTTGAGAGGAACCAGGGTAGAGCTCTCTACCCTATGTACGACGATTATGCTCGTCGAGGCAACATTCCCGACGACGCTATTTACCCTGACTGGTTTCAACCTCCACCCTAGGGATACGATAGGCATCCCACTACCCATGGCATTTATACTGACTATTCTGTCTTCCATGGGTACGGCCAGGACATTCCTTTCAGGGGACCAGCGGGGGGGAGTTTTCATGCTGATTACTTTTGTGGTAGCTCTTCTGGTGCAGGTGGTGCAGGTGGTAGAAGGAGTGGAGGTTTCGGCTCCATGGATGAGGATGATGAGGACTAGCTATGCTGGGTTAGTTCACGAGCCAATGAGGACATTGTCTGATTCTGGCTTGGGGGAGATTTTAGATTTGGTATCTTTCTTTTTCTCTTTTCTTTTATTTTTGGTGTGTTTTCTTAGTTTAGATTTATTGCTTTCTAGGTTAGTTTTATTTATTTCTTATATATGAATAATAAAAATAAAAAAATTGAAAAAAAAATTCCAATGAATTATTCAAGTGATAAAATCTTGCTTCCTTGTTCCCCATACTTGAATTATAAATCATGTTTATTCCAATGAATTATAAATCGTGCTTCCCTGGGCCCCATACTTGAGAAAATATTGTTTTAATTTTAGGTATATGATGATAAGCATTGTGGATTAGTTGATCATGATTTGATATTTGATTGCCTTGAAACCTTAACATGAGTCAATTTCGCCAACTATTTGTGAATATAGTGCTTGACTAGTTGATTTGGTTAGGAATGTGTGATAGTTCCTGGTATGTCAAGGAATTTGAGTATTGGCTTGCAACTATAAGTAATATTTATATGACTCATTATTATGCACATTGAGGAGGACGAAGGCGTTCATTCTTTTAGGTGGCCTCCAGATGATTGTAGATACATTTGTTCCCTTCTTGCTACCCATATTGTTGCCTTGACTTTTTATTGTTTATTTAGCCATATTACAAGCCGATTTGCCCCATTGGTTACTAGTCCCAAGCTTGGCTTGGGGGAGCTATTAGTGCGTGAGGTGAGGGAGTATGTAGTATGTTTATTATTTGCACAATTTGGGTGGGTTTTGAGAAGTTATATTGTTTTTTATCAATGTTTATTTTTGATGAGTTTGAAAGTTATATTTTCTTGAAATAATAAAGTATGATGTTATGAAAAAAAAAGAAGAAGTTCAAGAAAAAAAAAGTGAAAAAATAAGTGAACTTCAATAAAAAAAAAATAAATAAAGTAAAAAGAAAAAAAATTGTTAAATTGTTCAAGTGTTCTAGTTGGAGGTTGATCAAAAGGAAGAAAAAATTGAGCTTCTATGAAAAATATTCAAGTTTGGAAATAAAGTTTGTTTATTCACTCCAATTCTTCATTATTATATCTTATGAGTGAAATTGTAAGAGTTGGGATTATTTATATTGTTAGAGTTGTATTTAGTAGATTATTGTTGGGGTTGAGTTGTGTAGGAGATGTTGATCATTATTTGTTTTGATCATGGGTTTTACTAGGATTTGCTCTCTTAAGCATAGCTTTTCTCTCACTTGTTCCCAAATGAATCCTACCCTTTACCCTAGCCTTACATTACAAGATTTAAAGACCTTTCGACCTTTGTGCATAGAGTTGTATGAATGTGAAAGTGTTGTTTATCAATGCAAGTTATGATTTGACATATTTCGAGTCGACTAGTAGGTTGAACGTACATCTTTTTATACACACGAGAGTGTGAGTTGGGAGGGCATTGTTCACACATAAAGGGGTTGGTTGGAGAGCGATCGAGTACATCTTTTAATCGCCACATAAATGAGAGTTGAGTGTGTGAGCACTAGTCTTGAATTCTATATGCTCTTGTGGTTTGCTCTATTTGACAATTGTTAGGAGGAAAGGTAATTGGACGGATTCGATTGATTGACTTTGAAGTATGTTTATTGGATTTACCTTGAATTGTTTGTGCTTGATTTTTACTTTTCGGGGTGAAGCATATTTATTTATTCATTGATGAGATCTTTGCTTAGGGACAAGCAAAGATTTGGCTTGGGGTCGTTTGATGTGTCTATTTTATATAGTATTTTACCCCCCCCCCATCCCTTGGTCATAATTAGTAGTGTTTTTGGCTCTTAAAAACCACTTTTATTACTAATTGGCGTTGCAATACCCGAATATTTTACTCGTGATTGGTGTGGAGAAGAAGATTTGTTTATGATATAGTTCAAAAAAGAGTCGTCTCATTTTCTTACTTCTTCCTTCCTTCTTTATATATTATTTTTTATAAAAAAAATAGTTATTTTTATTTATTATATAACTTTCCTAATCTCAATTGTTTATTTTAGAGTTCGGAAAGATTTAAAACTCTATTTTGTTTATATATAACTCTACAATCATAAACTAGTTTAAACCCTATTAATATTCTAAAACCTTAAAAGATATTTTATATACATATATATATATATATATAATAATAATAATAATAATAATAATAATAATAATAATAATAATAATAATAATAATAATAATAATAATAATAATAATAATAAATAAATAAATAAATAAGTCGTGGTTTCCTTTGCTGTGCGTGAAATGAACCAAAACTATATTTTTTTTCTTTTGTTTTTCTTAATATGATGATGATGACGACTTACATCATTACATGGCTGCGCATATTGCGATAATTCCAATGTACATTGTCGAAGGTAATCACACTTTATCAATTTGGAGATGTTTGATTGTGTTATTTATTATGTGTAATCACACTATATTTTTGAGATGTTTGTATTTTCGTAATGTTATGTGTGATATGATTTATTATTTGTACTTTTTGTATATATGATTAATTATTATGGTATTATATGATTTGATTAGATTTGAGAATCGTATTATTTATTTTTGTTGTATATATTGATTGTACAATTATTGCTAGGGTTTTAATGTTTTTGTTATAGGGAGTATTGTTTTATCAAGGTTTTAGAGTTGTTATTGCAGAGTAATGTTTTTAGGTTGGGATTTAATTAACTTTGGGTGCTAGTATTAGTTCTATAAGAGTTGAGATATTTTATGAACTGAATATGTTGTCATATATGAATTGGGAACATGTGCCAATATTGAGATATTATTTATTATCATGTCAATGATTATTTAATCGATGTATGAGATAAAAAAGGTTGAGATTATTATTTTGTTCTTGGTTTGAGGCTCAGCGTTATAGACCTAGTCCTTGCACTAGTAGAAAAATAGAATTAGGCACCCCCCATATGGCACCGGTTCAGGCCAAACCGGTGCCAAAAATCAGCCCAAAATTGGGCGGTTTTTTGAACAAAGGGAAAAGGCACCGGTTCAACTCAAACCGGTGCCAAAAATGAAAAAGGCACTGGTTTGAACCGGTGCCAATTGAACCGTTGCTTTTTCAAAAAAAAAAACGCGGCCTTTTGCTTTAATTTCTTCTCCTTCCTCTCTTTCTCTTTCATTCCTTTTGACTTCCCCACTTCATAGTACGCTGTTTCATTGGAGACGATTTCTCAAGCAACCTCCCCCTTTTCCCTCCACCACAGCCGCCACCTTCACCGGCCACCAACATTGTCGAAAACCACCGTCGTTAATTCTCCCCTGCTCTGCCCTTCTCTGTCTTTCACGGCCGGCCTCCACCGCCCTTCTCTATTCGAACAAAAGTACAGCAGCGCGCACCGCCTCCACCTCCGCGCTGCCTCCGCTAGTGCGCACCACCGCCTGTTGACCTCCACCAGCGAGGGTCTTCCTCAATCTCTCTTCCCCTTAGCTTCTTCCACCTCCAACTAATTTAGGGTAAGTTTTTATTTTTTTGTTAAAAATTGAACAATTATTTTGAAATATGTAATTCTATTATTTTCAATAGCATTTTGAACAATTATTGTTAAGAAAATTAAAGTCAAGGAATGTATATAATTTTACCTAATTTTTTTCATTTTTGCATTGGTTGTTTATTTAGAAATTTTGAATACATATTATACATTAGAGTAATTTTTATGTTTAGAGTAATTTTGAATACATATTATAGATTAGAGTAATTTTGCATTACCTTGTTCCTTAGTTGAAAATTTTGTATGTTATAATGGGTTATTTTGTGGTTGATTTAATGAGTAATTATGAATATAATAGAGATTAGTAAAAATGTTACTTAATTAGTTGAGTTTTTGTATGTTTTAATGTGTAATTTTAGGTTGTTTTAATGGGTAATTGTGAATATATTAAAAAATTAGTGACCTTGCTACTAATTAGTTGTGAATAAATTAGAAAATTGTGAATAAATTAGAGAATTTTGATTACATTATAGATTTGTGAATAATTTAGAGAATTGTGATTAAATTAGAGAATTGTGCATAAATTAGAGAAATAGTGATATTGCCACTTAATTAGTTGTGAATAAATTAGAGAATTGTGAATACATTAGAGATTTGTGAATATATTAGAGAATTAGTGACATTGCTAA